CGACCGGCGAACATCTTCAGTTTGGATAAACAGCACTGTCGCCGTAAAATCAGCCGACCGAGGAGCATCTTCAGTTTAGATAAACAGCACTGTGTCGAGGCCGATTGGTTACCTATCCAAGTCTTGGCCGAGAAGGGTTTTCGAATCCTTATTGGCAGGGGTCACCTTATCAGCCTTCTCGGCGAAGTAAGGTGTCACGAGTTACGACATTCGGCGTATCGGACGCCGAGTGGTTTTATGATTGGGTATTCTCAGGTAAGTTTCAGAGTTCGGCATTCTGACGGCCGAACCACGTTCACCATCAAGACATACATCACCTTTGAATATTTGTGTCCGTATAGTCTAGTGTCGATTCGACGTGCTTATACTCTTACGAACATAATCACAGTGATCGAATCAGGCATTGACGATTTGTGAACTTCGCAGAACTAGCAGCCTCGTCTTCAGGCTCTAGAACCCAAAGACCGAGAGTGTTCCTTCCTCGGTCGTAGTCGCAAGATTAAGAAGTCAGCAACGCGCTCAACGCGACAACAACGAATTTTACTCCTTGGCCGAGCTCGATGAGTTGGCACGCCCCGCATTCAACCGAAGGACTTAGTTAGCCTACTAGTTACTCGGCCTGCGCACCACGTAGGCTTTGTAATTTTTAGGGACAACACCTTCATTTTGCAATTTCCATGTATCCAACATCCAAACAATGAAATTTCAATTAACAGGATTTCAATTACTGGGAATTGTAATTCCCGTCATTTAGAATTCTATGAAAATTTATAAATTCTCCATCCAAACATAGTGTAAACCTCCAACTATTTACACCTTTCCATATTCATTTTTTACATCCATCAATTCGACCAACACATGGGTTCATCCTCCAACATCATAAAAAAAATTTAAATCACAATTAAACTTAATACTTTATATCATAATTTCCCTCTTAGTTTTCTTGTTTTCGATAGAAACCAAAACCAGAAAACTTTACAAAATTGGAGTCATTTGACTCATTTGTTTTCACAAATCACAAATCCCTTTTAATCCAATAATTCCAAATACATATTAAAATTGGGATAAACATAAGCAGAGATAACACACCCAAAAAATTACATATTAAAATTGGGATAAACAGAAGCAGAGACAACACACCCAAAAAATTATTAGCAGCGTTCCAATCCTCGCCAAATTAGAGATTTATGAACTGAGATAACAAAAAATGCAACTAATCCCAAAACCAAACGGTTAGGGTTTGGTCTAAAGTAACAAAAATCGAAAATAAAAACTCAAATACAACTATTATAAAATCTACCCGAGTTCGATAAAATTTGTTTCACCACGATTTGAAGATAAGCCGCTCCCACACAGACCCACAAATTGGGTAGAAATCAAACGACAACAGTGAAACCCCAAACGGCAAAATAAACAAACACTATGAGGTTTTGGCTTGCCAATTGTAAATTTAAGAACCCTATAAACGAATTTTATCGTTTCCCAGAAAAACTCCCAGAACCCTAGCTTTACAGCTAACTTCACAAAGAAACACAGCTTCGCTAAAAAAACTCCCAAAAACAAAGATCAGGATCTCTTCTATCAATATTTTGTGAAATAAGGACTAAAGATTTGAGGACTAAAGATTTGAGAGCAAGAGAGAATTCGAGAAAGACAAAGAGCGAAAGCAAGATGGCAAAAACAGAGGTGAAGCAAAAGTAAAACGGAAAAGAAGAAACGGACGAAATGGAGAGACCAGAGATGAAAGACGTGTGGCCAAAAGGGGCGAAACAGACTTTCTACTGTAGAAAAGCCAAAAGAACACTCTCAGAAAAACCGAGGGCAAATCTGTCCGAACACTGGTGATAAACAGTGCCGGGGGAAACTCAGTTTTAGTATATATGATGTCGTAGTACTCATTCAATTTTTTTTCTTTCAAAATCATTTGAAGAAGCTTCCTGAAAAGTGCATAAGAAATTTTATTTGAACCCATATAACCTCTTTCTACACTCAACTTAAATTTTAAATGTGAAGTGTCTTTTTTATCCTATTGCACAATTACCATAAAGTATAAGATAAAATTAACAAGAAAACTAAAATGTATCAATAAACCCACATTCAATAATCAAACCTTACTATTATCCAATCTTTCTATTGTGTCCTACTCTGGCTAAAATCCTAATATGCTATTATAGAGAAAATAAGCTCTTTTTTATAAATAGATAGTGATTTTGAAGTTTTTGATCTTCCAACTAAAGTATGAATCGATTTTTGAGTTTTTATTTTATTTTAATTATTTTATGAACTCAAAGAAAAAATTCACTCGATGTCCCATCCTTGGTGCATCTTAGGATCTGATTTTCCTGCAGCTATGTAAATCTTAAGCAGCAAATAATACTCACTGCAATTGAGACAACCTAGACGCTTCAGAATCTCACAAAATTTCTCAGCATCATCAACATCTTTATCATCCTCAAAATACTTGAGAAATGCAATTTTGGTATCTGGGGATGGATGCAATTCCTCATTCTTGCTTTCCGAAACAGCAGCTCACAATTCGCTAAACAGCCAAATCCACCTTACGGGTGTTCAAGGCGTGAGCCGTAAGCATTTCCCGAGCCTTCATGAAAGACCCTTTAGTCTTCTTACAGGCACTTGCAAAGACCAATTCTGGTTCTTCATACATGCCCCGACTGAGTTACCCACATATAGCAACATTTGCCAACCTCATATCAAAACTAAAGCAAATGGATCCCATTCCTTAAACAATTCTTTCAATCCCTCAATAACATTTTGCTTTTAAAGGGCCTGAAGAATTACAAGATTGCTTAGGCCTGAAGAAAACATATGCTTTGATTTAGATGTTTTACCTTTTGAAAATGGGTGTAAAGATAGATTTACTTATCAAATTGGGTTTGTGATGAGGGTAATTTATGTGGTAAATTTGGGTTTAAAAAATATATTGATAGTTTAGTTAAAAATAATATGGGTGTAAAGAGTAAGCTGATTGTATAAAGAGATTGCATGGATTCAAATAAAATTTCTCAAAATGCATTTGTGATCAAACCACTTTCAATTTTTCACGTCAAAAGCTGCTATAAACCCTTTTGGTTATTTGAAAATGTATTGATCATTTTAAACCCGTTATTATCAAACACGAATCCGGATCCTCTTTGTGAGGATCCCAGGAATTCGTGAACTGTGTCCGTTTATCGTACATTGTGCAGTCAAAAATTATTTTAAATATTTTTATATAAAATTAAATACAAATAGTATATGACAAAAACTGTCCGCACGATATACGATAAACGAACATGATTCACGGATCCTCAGAATCTTTACCAAAAAGATCCGGAGAAGATCCTGTTGGATCAAACACGACCTACTTGGCATTTTTAATCCTTTTAAAATCACACACACACACACACAACCACATTAACTGTATTATTGTAGTGATTCTGGTGATCATACAAGCCATCTGTCGTCCAGCATACAGTGGCAATGCTCTCACAATACGGGCTAGAGGTGCAAACGCGGTTCGGCCCATTTAAGGTCATCTCACGTGGACTTAGGTCGCGTTTGAGTAGGCTCATTTAATAAAAAATTTGTACTTGGGACTACTCAATTAATAAAATATTTAGCCCTGCCTAGCCCTCGGTTCCTGACCTTTTAGGACCTATATCGTGTTGTTTGAGTCATTAAACAGGCCGACTTCAGCAAAACTTAATTTTTAATTATTTTAAAATTAGAAAAAAAATTATCTGGACATGTTACTAAGCTAAATATAACTAATATTAAGTTTTACTAACTTTAAAATGTATGTTTGTAATTGAAAACATAATGAATAAATGAGATTTTCCATAATGAGTTAGGGCCGCGGGCTGTGCTCGGCCAATGACGGACCAATGGGCCGTGAACTGGTTAGTCCATTACGTCTATACCTTAGGCTAGGTCTGTCCACATTTTACAAATCCAATCACGTCGTATCGAGTTTTATTTTTTTTAGTACAACGATATATTTTACATTAAGGGAAAAAAAGAGTTTCGCTAAGTCATATAATGGACAATTTAATTTAAAATCGAATTCGTCATCTATGATATTCGAACCTAAGACATCTTATTTATAGGTAAAAAGGTAATACCACTAGATCGTAGTATTGAATGACTGTACTATTTCTTATTTAAATAAACTTAAAACATATCGTGCCTTATTTAAGTAGGTCGTGCTCGCCTTATTTCAGCACCCTAGCTTCTTCGATTAATGCACCAATTAGCTCAAAGATACCTTACATAAATACATGAAGTAAACCCCACCTTTCACGTTTCAGACACGTGAATCTCTACAATCTAATCAGTACCCACTGGCCACTTGCTATCGTCATACACAGCAGTCAGCCAAAAGAGAGGGCAGTAATTTTTTCGGTTTATTTAGGACGATGAGATCTTCTATCGATCTTCTTTGTGAGAATTTCAGAGATCATTCAATCATATTAATTCATTGTATATTGTATAATTAGAATTATTTTAAATTTTTTTATTTAAAATTGAATATAAATAGTACTGGACAAAAATTAACTGCATAATTTACGATGAACGAACATAATTGAAGAATCTTTGAGACAAAGAGGATCCGTAGAGGATCCTCATTCATTCATGACACCGTTGTATCATCTTATTATTTTTCTTCATTCATTCATGACACCGTTGTATCATCTTATGATTTTTCTTAAATTATAATATATATATATATATATATATTTGTTTTTTTATTGATGTAAGTGGGACGCTTTAATCAAGTTGTTAATTCTTATTAGGAAAATAGTGGGGAGATTATGTTTTTAACTCTTATTTGAAATCTTATGATGTAGTTGTTGATGGTTAAATTCTTTATTTAATTATTTAAATAAAAAATTAAATCATCAATCGTTATATCATGCAATCTATAAAATATGATTCAATTATGGGGTGAAAAAAAAACATGTTACTTATGTTACTCATAACCATAAAGAGATGAAGAGAAAAATAAGAATTCAAACTTGGAGACCCATCATCCCATGTGAGCTTCAAAAACCCAGATCCACGCAAATTTTAACGTACAAAACACGACCCACCACCTCTCCAAAAATTGACGGACCACAAAAACCCTCATCAAACTCACAAAAATCATTACATGTAACTTCATTTGCTCAACACACCACAAATGGAGACGTTGAGCACGGCAAAAGATACGACCAATAATATGAACAAACCCAATCCTCACCCTCACCGCCGTCACCTCCACCAAAAATCTCAAACCCTACCGCCCTCACCCACCCACTCCTTCCATTCCTCCTCCTCCTCCTCCTCCGACTTCGAGTTCACCATCTCTCTCTCCCCTCGCAAATCCTCCAACGCCGTCTGCCCCGCCGACGAGCTCTTCTACAAAGGACAGATCCTCCCTCTCCACCTCTCCCCTCGCCTCTCCATGGTCCGGACCCTCCTCCTCCCCTCCTCCGCGTCCTACTCTTCCTCCTCCGACACCACCACGTCGCGTGACTCCACCGGCAGCTCCTCCAACGAGTCACGAGATTCTACCTCCTCTTTTGCCAGCGACCTCGTGCTCTTGGCCGACCAATCATGCGACTCCTCCCGCCGCCCCAGCTCCGTCACGGAGGAAAACAACGAAGAGTCGTTGTTCAAGCGCGCCTTCAACTATAACAACAACAATAAGTACGTGAGCGTCCACTCCAACGACGGCGTTTCGAAGAAGAAGTACTTCTCGTTATCGAGATTCTCCTCCGTGTTCAAGAAGGAACCGAAAGTGCAGAAAGACAACACTCTAGATCCTCACAACAACGCCGCCGCGGCGGGGCTCGGATCTAACAATGCAGTGAAACCTAAACGCATGAGCACTACTGCCAAGGAGGTTATTAGTAAGTACCTGAAGAAGGTGAAGCCCTTGTATGAAAAACTCTCCCAAAAACAACAACAAAAAATGGGGGGAGGAGGAGGAGGAGGAGTGGGGGTCACGACCACAACAACGAAAACACCCGACAAATGTACGGCGACGACGGCAAGGAATACTCATAAAGATTATGGCTCTAATAATCATGGATTATTTTCCCATTCCTTCTCCGGTAACCTGAGGTACCCTAGAAAGAGAGGGTGCGTTTCTAGCTGCCCTTCTTCAATGCGGGGATCCCCGAGCCACTCGGGGATTCTTTCCCGCACTGGGGGTCTAACGGGCTCGGGTGGTGGTGGCCCTAGTAGTAGCACGTCATCGTACGGGGACAGATCGTCGATGGAGGAGCTTCAGAGTGCAATTCAAGGCGCAATTGCTCATTGCAAGAACTCCTTGGTTCATGGCAAGAGCACTACAACCATGGTCAGTCATGAGATTTGAGATCCAAGTTAATTATTAAATGTAAAATAATTAATTAATTTGTATGACTAATTAGATCCCAAGTTAATTATAAGTATTTTTATCTCTGTGTTTGTTACCAAGAGAGAGTTAGGTTATCTAACTAGCTGCATACATGACGGTTTTAGAAAAACTTACGGAACAAATTTATATACCTTAACGTTCTGGTTTAATAATATAATAACATATATAATTTAATATTTATGTATCATTACATTATTTAATCAAAACGCCGTATAATAGTAAATTTTTACATGCAAGTTGCTTTCAGATGATGCATGTGATGGGTGGTACTTTGGAAACACTCATTTGGATTTGGTCTCAAATATTAAGGAATCGATCAAAATTGGTTACTTTAGCCCCTTGGAACTTGAATCTTGTTTTTCTAGGGCTGTGTTTGGTTTGTTAGCTTTTGGTTTTTCGATTATTTGACCGCAAAAAACTAAAACTGTACTTAAACGTAAATTATTATAGCATGAAGTTATGCTTTTTTTTTTTTTTTTTTTTTTTCGGGAATGAAGTTATGCTTTTGGCTTTTGCTTTTTCCGTGTTTGTTTGTGATGATTATTTCAGTTGTCATAACCTTTTATGCATCAGATTTTTTCTGGAAATGTGTACGACTGTTTCTGACTTTTATATGGACATTGACTTTTTAGTCAATTTTATATTTTAATTTTAAATTTGTTCACCATTAATTAATATATACTTTGAATTTATTTACCGTTAATCATTTTAACTCTTCCATGATAGATATTTTAAATTTGTTCACCGTCAATTATTTTGACTCTTCCATGAGAAGTCTTTGTTAAATAAGGAATAAAATGACAAAATATTTTCAATTTAATAAATGTTTCAACAAAAATTGAGGTATTTTTGTTTTGGGCAAAAAACTGTTTACTACCCTCATGTTTCGTGGTTTTCAATATTTAGTACATTAAGTTTTTTTCGTCCCAGAGTCATATTTAAAGTGTGAATTTTGGGACAGTCTTATACATCCGTTAGTCAAACTGTTAAGTCTCCCATTAACTGTGACGTGGTGCCATGTGAACAATGACTGGGCACCACGTGTCATCCACGTGGAAATTAAAAATAAATTATTTTATAAAATAAAATAAAAAATTTATATAATAAATAAAAAAAACCTTCATCTTTCCCAAATCCCACCCGTGCCCTACCCTCCTATCACCCACCTCTTCGTCTTCCCCAAATCCCACCCTCATTCGCACTTAGCCAGCCTTAATCAAACCCCCCAAAATGTCCAATCTCCAACTAAAGACTTCATGCACCCTCCTCACCACCCTTCATTCCCGACCCCTTCCTTCCCCGACCCCCTCCCTTCTTCTCCCTTCCTCATTCTCTTCCTTGCACCTACTTCCCCACCGAAGCCCTAACAGAGCAGCACCTTCGGGTTCTACTCCAATCACTACTCTTGCCAGAAATCGCTTACCTGCACCTACCTCCCCGCTGAAGCCCCAACAGAGCAGCACCTCCAGGTCCCTACTCCGCTCACTACTCCTGCCAAAAACGTACCTCGACCCACGACGTCGCTGCTTTTTCGCACTAGCTCCTTCACTGTGCTTTTGGAACTTCCACTGACCCATACTTCTCCACCTATCGCCAAAACCCGACCACCCAACCCGTGGTCGTTTTTGTCTTTCCCTGTAGTGCTCTACTCTACTTTTTGGGTTTTAGATTTTCGAAACCATCAAACACCCAAAAAACGACCAAATTTTGAATCCAACACGTGGATTCAATCCCAGCTTATCCTCAAATTAAAACGCACCAAATTCTTCAAGTTTTCGACCAAATAGGTCGCACGCCCAGTACAATGACGCCGCCACTTCTCCGAGCACCCCCACATCGTCGAAATCTACCATCACCATTTGGTTTGGAGTTCAGCCGCGACGGCAAGAAATCGAAGTTGAAGTCAAATGGGTCAAAAATATTTTGGGTTTGCTCAATTTTTCTGAAAATTGAATTTTTTTGGGGATTAGGAGAAGGGAGGGGAGGTGAAGAAGGTGGAGATGGAGTAGGTTCGGTACAGAGGGATCAGGGGAGGGAGATGTGTCGGGAAAGTCGAAAATTAGTAGCAGAGAGGAGCACCGGAGAAATCTTTTAGTTGTGGGTTGTCGTTTTGGCCGTGTGTTATCGTTTTGGGAGTGAGCTTGGATCTGAGGGAAGAAGGAAAGAAGGGTGCAGGTTGGGGGGAAAAGGTGCAAGTTGTAGAGGGAAGAAGGAAGGTTGGGGGAGACTGGTTTTGGTGGTTGGAGTGAGCTTGGGGGAGGTTTTGGGGAAGAGGGTGCGGGTTGCAGAGGGAAGAAGGAAGGGAGGGGGTTGGGGGAGGTAGAAGACGAGTAGGTGATGGGAGGGTGGGCACGAGTGGGATTTGGGGAAGATGAAGGGTTTTTTTTTATTTTTTTATTATATAAATATTTTATTTTATTTTATAAAATAATTTATTTTTAATTTCCACGTGGATGACACGTGGTGCCTAGTTATTGTCCACATGGACGCCACGTCACATTTAACATGAGACTTAACAGTTTGACTAACGGATGTATATGACTGTCCCAAAATTTACACTTTAGGTATGACTCTGGGACGAAAAAAATGTTGAAAACCACAAAATTTCAGGTAGTAAACAGAGTTTAACCCTTTTGTTTTTTTATTATTATTTTAACGAAAATTTTTCACGGAATGACCAAAATGATTGATGGTAAACAAACTCAGGGACCAAATCTATCGATTTTAAATCTCATGAACCATTTTTAGCTAAAAATCCTTTGGAAATTATTTGTACGAATCAAGTTTATATAAGTCGATACAATATATGTCATAATATGACTACATTAACATAGAAAGCATATTCTAAAATAAGACATATCAATTATGTCGCTTACTTATATTATAATACGTTACGTAATACTTTGTGTTCGGTACTTTGTGTTCGGGTACACATAATATATTTTTCAAGTTCTGGCTTTAAAACAATTAAAAGAAAAATTAGAAAATTAAATTAAATGGGAGAAAGTTAGGCACATGGTCATTTCAGTTCGTTGAGGGTTGACTTGAGGTCAGCCATGTGCGTAAAGCTTCAGAGGTCGTGATTGGATAAAGACGGTGGATATTTTAATACGGGAAGCAGCTGCCAAGCCTCCAATTTTATGGACATTTTTTCAAATCTAAGTTCCGTAAGTACAAAAAATTCAGATAACAGAGTAGACCCCTAGATGTTGGTTGGAATTGGATGAGTAAGGTTACCATTTCCGTTAAAGTTGTGGTTGTTTTCCGGCGTTTTTGATATTCCACGAATTTGTTTGGCTGTAGGATGAAAGATTTGAACCTATCAAAATCTTAACTCGTTATACTAACAGCACAAGAAAAAAAAATTTGTTTGTTTTTTATTAATTCGTTGCGTGGTGAGGTTCTTCAAAACGAATATGGAACAAGAACAACATTTTAATTCATTACTATGCTTGTATATGTCACACATTTACAGTTAAATCAAGTTTATAGATTATTATGGTAAATATTTCAGAAACAAAATTATGGAGGTGGACAAAATCACATTAATTCGGACCTGGTAGATTGTCTTTTGCCAGATCGATGACACTCTTCTGAATCTAACTTGTTTCATGCGGACCTTAAGCAAATAATACAATGGCCCCCTCAATGAACAATAGCCACCCCTTTCACACCACGTATTACTACTAGTACAGTATTTGGGGGTTGAGGCCATATTTGTAAAGTTTGAATAGTATCTATCAACCATTGCAGAAGTTTTTCTACACGAAGTCACTGTATCTGTATCTTAAATTAATCACACGTTGTAACATGAGAGAGTTACAGTGCATAGTGCACAGTGAACTTAAAGTGCGATTGCCTCATTGGCAGGGCAAGCGGAGAACCATATTTTAAGAGACCCTAAAGTATATATATGTATATAGAGAGAGGGGTAATTACATGTGGTTTACATTAACTTTGAAAGGAAATTTTCAACAAATGACATATGAAGTTTTCCAATTTAAATAAGTTGTTTTTAAGTGTTTACCAAACACCTTTTTTAGCTAAACTTTTTTTTATATCCACTTTTTATAAAAGCACCTTAGTACCAAACCAGTACTTAATCCAACATCCCAAACTAAACAACTTCACCATTAACCACCCAGAGTTCAATTTATCTTACAATTTGGCAAATATGTTCACTTCCATTCACCTTTCCGTCAAATAATGGTAGACAAAAACAATACCTTTTTCAAGGCCACTCACACGATTTCACTCGACTATATAGAGTTTATATTTGACGAGTGTTAATAAAAAAAAAAAAATCGAGTAAAAATGTTGAGCTTTATGAAGGCGAAAAAAATACTGATATGCACCTATTTTGATTGCAATAGGGTTTATGTTTGGAAGGACAAATAGTTTATATATCCTAATTACGGTAGAGGACGAGAATGCCATGCAAACAGGATTTGTGTTTAGAAGGATAAATAGTTTATGTATCCTAGTTGTTTCACTTTGTTACATGCAATGATAGGATACTTGAACTAATTGGAAAACGCCATGTCTGAACAACTCTAGTAGTCTTGAACATTAAAGCTAAGCACGAGGGACAGCTTAATTTGGCATGATTATGCTCCTCAGCATTGCTCTCGCATTTGAGTGTTGTGCTACCAGCCTCCCAAGGACGACGATAACTAGTTCTGTGGGGGTTGCTTGCTGCATGCACATGCACATGCAGTTAGATCGATATATCAATATCGTTCTCCTGTACTTTATGATTTAAGAAAAATATAGTCATTCACCAATCGATCTAATTCACTAGTAGAAAAGAAAAACAACAATAAAAATTAAACCACCGCCTAAATTAGTTTACCACATAATCACATTGCAATCGACATGCACAAATTAATAGATCATATATATATCATCACCATTTGAGTTAACCATATCCCTATCTTGCCTGCGAATGCATTTGTAAAATACTTAATTAAAAGAAAGAGATGAGTGAGGCAATCTAGATTAGTAAGGGAAGCGATCTTCATACTCTCGTATTACATCTACACTTTTATTATTAGCATAGATGCAAGGTCCATCATTTCTTTTGATGTAGGATTGATAGTCACAACAAAACTTTGTATTAATTGACCATTAACGGTTAACACCGCACATAGCATCACATGGCATGCCAACATTGTGTTACTAATTTTCTCAAATTATATTATATGCTAGTGACGAGTTTATACTTTAGGCTATAACATCAGTTAATAATATGTTATAATATAAGTGAATCAATACCATATTTTTTTGGCTTATTAGTCGAAATACCCCCTGAAACTGCCACTTTACCCCATGGAACTGGTTTTGTCTCATTTTGGACATTTTCAACTCTTTTGTCTCATTTTACCAACTTCCGTTAATGGACTATTAAATTTAAGTGTGACAACCTGTCCCTAATTCTAAGCTTTATAAATTTTAAATTAGTGATTTTACGAAAATGCCCTTGAGGCAAAGATTTTGACTTTCGTTGACCATTGGTTAGAGAGACGTAGGACTTATTCTTTTAGCGTATCCTCGTAGTACTCATCACTATGAACGCATAGGCGAAAACTGTTTACGAGTTCGGATTATAATGATATAGTTACGAACGTTTGAAATTAGTTATTTAAAGTTCAGTTAAATAAATTGAACTCCCACCTTGCGGGAAGACTGACCAATCAGATTAAGGGCTGGTTTGGCATTGCTGTGCTTTGAAAAAAAGCTGTTTCTTCTGTGCTGTTAAGAATAATCAGCTGTGAAATAAAGCAGCATAGTGTTTGGTAAACTTTTTTTGTAAAAGTGCATTTGGAAAAAAAAAAAAAAAAAAAAAGCAATATGATAGTGTTCCTTGCCTCCCCACACCCTTCACACACAGACCCAGCTTTTCTCTTTGGACATCCAACAAGAATCTAACCCAGCAAACCCTTCTCCAAAATCTTCAGCACCTTCTCAGAGCCACCTATATATCTCCCCTTCACAAACACCTATGGCGGCACTGCTGCCTCCTTCCCTTTCCCCTTCATCAAGTCGCTCAACTCTTCTCTGAACTCGCGATCCATTGACACGTCACGCTCAACAATCATCACCCAAAGGTCTTCTATCTCTGCCCGGACGACGTTACGCTCCTCAAAAGTCCGCCGCACTCCTCGCGTCGTCTTGTAGACAACGACTTTGTTTTCTCTGCCCGGCGGGCGTATTTTCTCTAACCGATCAAGTGGATCCTTCTTGTTGTTCACTCGGAAGACGCTTTCGTACGGAGATTTAAGAATTGCGCGATTCGGGTTGGAGTTTTCTAAGAAAACGAAGGGTTTGGGTGGCGAAAGCAACGATAATCTGAAGCTGTTGGCATTAAGCCCGTTCATAAGCTCCCATGAGTTAATGACTTCTGGGTCGGAAGGCAGCGGTCTCGGGTCAGACAATAGTGACTTGGGTTCGAACTCGAGAGACTTAGGATGGGACAAGGGACTTGGGAAAATAAAGGAAGTGAGGAGGTTGTAGGTAGAGGAAGTCAGCGAGACGATGTGGTGGCTCAACGTGGAGCTGCCGAGTTGGGAGAAATGAGAAAGAAGAAAGGAGGGCAACATTGGCAGCTTCCACAATAAGCCATTTTTTTAAGCTGCCTTTTGCAGCTTCCACTTTTTAGCTTTTTTTCATCTGAAACTTTGAAAAAAAAATTGATTTGGGGTGTTTACCAAACACCAAAAACTCTCCCAGCTTTTTTTCATACCAGCTTTTTTTAAAATCACCTCAACCCCAAACCATACCTAAAGGGTAAAGACCAATCAGATGAGAGAGAAGCAACAAATCGGGAAAGGAGAAAGAGGGGTTTCCTTCCCGTTGACCTGTGCACACCCACGACCAACCCGTTTGTGACCCAGTTTGATTCCGGGCAAATCATGCTATTCTTCTCGTTGAATCACCACCCTTAATCACCTAAAAATCACTTAGTGGCGTCCCATCCACCATCTCAACCTAAAAACAAAGAGTTTTGGTTCCAATTTCGTGAAGGTCGACGCACGGCTGGGTAGGTACTAGGTGGCGATCCACCCATTTCTGAAACACTTACCTTTAGTCACCACCACCAAAACACTTCTCTGGAGGTCAGGAACAAAGCCCAAACAGTTTTATGGATGGTGGTGTTGCAGATTGATTGAATTGAAGAACACATAATTCTAGGGTTTCGGCGGGTTCTTGGCGATTTGAAGCTTTTCCCAGCCAAATTGGACTTGGCCACAGGTATGAAACTTGCTTTACTCGTTGAGATCTTCATTCCTATAAAATTTGATATTTTTTAGAAATAGTTGATTTTTCTGGCAAGTCGGGGCGGCCGACCGTCGTGTGCGGCGGTGCGTGGGTCGAGGCACCCCCTGACCTTCCTAAGCTAAGTTTGATAACCCAATTCCATAGGTGAAGTCCAATTGATGAAATCTCATCGTTTGAACATAGTTTTGATAGAGACAGCTACTTGATCCTTATACGAATTGACGATCCGACCGTTGGATCATCACCAAACTTTAATACATTATAGTATGTAATATTTGAGGATATTAGAAACTTATGGATTTGGAATTTGACATACAGATCTTCCTGAATTGGAATTTTTAGTTCACAAATAAAACGTTAACCGCCACTTGAATTTGCAATTGGCGGATATCCAACCGTTGGATCGTAATGAAACTTTAGTATGATATTTTAGAAGCATAATGTGAATTTTTGGAAGTTACGGATTGGAAATATGTGATGCGGATCTTCCGGATCAAGTTACGTAGTGTTGTGGACCCTACCGTCGATCTTTGATTGACGGTTGACTTTTGGTCAATGGGTCATTTTAGAACATCCTTGGGGATGTGTTTTATGTAAGGTACGTGTCCTATCAATAAGGATTTTGAGATGTGATTTGATAATTGTTCTAGGCACTGATCGTTCGTGACGCCTCGATATTCGTACTAGGAAGTTGTAGCGCAGACCTTAGGTGAGTGGGTCTTTTTCTTATATATATATATATAAACTTCACGGTTTCCAGAAACATTTTTTTTTATATGGAACTATGCTTTGCTTGCCATGTCGTAAATAAGCTACATTTTAAATATTGCATTGTTACACTTGTGATTGTATTGTGTGATGCTACGAAGACTCAAGTAAGCTTTATGTGAATATTATGTGATTGAATGGATTGTATTGCATGGGTATTAATGTTCCCACCTAGGGCTAGGGCCAACCTTCACGTGATTATTCACCTCCCGCACCACACGCTTACCTTGAATCCAAGTCTTGTGCCAACCTGTCGTACATACCACAATAGGTGGTTCCGACTCATAGGTGACCCGTGATTTATCGCACATCTTTCATGTGATCGTAGTACTTGAGCGTACATATTTATACCCAACCTATTGTACAGGTCACACTAGGTGACTCCAACTCGTGTGCTAGCCTAGATTGATGAGCTATAAGTCCAGTCATACAGGTCACGTTAGGTGACTCCGACTGTCATACTATTTTATATTGGTTTCACACCTGGCTTACATTTATTAATGCTGAGATATTATGACATGACATACTTTAGTTTTCGCTGCTCTTGGGCATTGGTTTTTATACCTATGTAGTAATATTATTTTCTGGAAACTATACGGGTTTTACGGCGAGGGGTTATAACACTTTCAAAAGATTTTTATTAAAACTTTATTTTTAGGCCCACTCACCCTTATTTTTTGCCCCTCTAGATGTTAGTAGCAGAGTTTTCGTACTGACGAGGATTATTGGCAAATCTTGGTGTAGGCAAGTATCATCGATGATATAATTCTCACCCTATTTTACTGTACGGTACTTATGCTCTGTCATCACATGTGAATTGGGTTCATTCCCGCTCACGGTGCACTCTTGTATTTAGACACTTTTAGGTTTAAATTTACTTATATTTTCCACATCACTACACTTAATGGCTTCGTCACCTTCTTGGTGTCAACCAGCATAGCTCAATTCGGAGTCCTAGTTGACATTCCGGGTTGGGATGTGTCATAAGGGTATTTTAGACAATTCAGTTTTTACACATTTATTCCACACTAAACAAGTCTCAATTTTATTTTTAACAACTCTAATTCAAACACATATATTTTGGGCATTTTAAAATAAATTATTCAATCAATAGAAAATTTTCAAGCAACAAATCATTGTATCAACCAAAATACGAGTTATATTTGTTTGAAGAGTAATTTCACTTGCAGCCAAAAAAAATCATTTAAGCAAATGTGCACACTTTGAAACAAAAAAAATTGAGCACTGATTCCACTAGGCATGAGCTTGTTCAAACTGTGCACATTTACTTTAAATGATTTTTTTTGGTTTGGGAAATATTTTGGATAGCTTAATGGTATACTGATTTTATTGTAACGAATATTTTTCAATTGTGAAGTTTCGAGCCAATACATGGATGTTTTGCCAGTGAAATGACTCTACGAACAAATGTAACCGTTATTCTGATTGATACAATGATTTTGTTGCTCTGAAATTTTCTATTAATTGAATAATTTATTTTTAAAAATGCCCAAAATTTATGCGTTTGAATTAGAGTTGTCAAAAATTAGGCTAAAGGTAAATAAATGTGTAAAAACTAAAATGTCTAAAATATGCTTAAATTTAACAATTCATTACGGAAGTGGGTAAAGTGAGACAAAAGAGTTGAAAATGTTAGTTTCAGGGGGTAAAGTGAGACAAAACCAGTTTCAAGAGGTAAACTGAGACTCAATGGCAGATTCAGGGAGCATTTCGACTAATAAGCCTATTTTTTTTTCCTTATAACAATCAATAGTTGGGGGAGGGGAATCAAATATTGAATTTCAAGTCCAAAAAACTGAAAATAAATGCTCTTAATTACTTGAGCTAGAAGCCCCTTACAATTGGTAAAACCATACTTAGAAGTTACTAAAAATGAGAGTGGAGATAGCTTAGGTGGCAAAACAAGAATTAACTTGACTCCTCAATGAGGAGTTCTTCCTCAAGATGTTACCGATTCACAAGCTTTGTGTTTGTGATTAGATTCGTTCATATTAAAAATCATTCTGTAACGATCCATCTCTGCAGAAAATCAATAAAATAAGAGATCGTTTAGTTATCGAACTATATAAAAACAAATAGTCAGATATCGTAAAAGCTTTATGAACCGTTATTTGTGTTGCTGTAGTTGATTGACTAAACAACCTTATTTTAAATTGTTTTTTTTTTTTTGCAGAGATAATCTTACAGAATGATTTATAATATGAACGGTTCTAATTATAAACACAAAGTTTTATAAATCGGTTACAAAGTGTCTTGAGGAAGAACTCCTTCCTTAATTTAAAGAGCCAATCTTTCCTCGTTGGTAAATGTGGGTGTGGATTGGATTATGTCCAGAGTTCGATGATCTACATCAAAAGAACAAAAGAAGTGGCTCCCTCAAGTAGTGGAATTATTTGAAGGTGTCAGAGTGCAGCTTCCAAAATGATTCATAGCAGAAGATCTAGTTGAAACTTGAAAGACTGCATGCAGAGATTTTTTTTTTTTTTTAATTTTTTTGGTTGGAGGCAGAGATTAATTAACACTCCTCCTTTAAGTAATCCTATGATCACGGCCCGATGAAAATGCTCACGCTACACTGCAGGGAGATACTCTAGTGAGGTTTTTGGGCCTTGCTAACCGCAACCACATTTAAATCCACTCATTCGTTTTTGCTTAAACTTTTCTCGTCCTCAAATATTTCTATTATAACGCTAACAAATAGACTGGGTTAGAGAGCGCTTTTGTAGGATTCACTTCTAATTATAAGCAGTTTTTAAGTAAGCGACAATAAACTTCAGTTGTGGAGCATTTCTTTACAATTGTCACTGGAGTTTTTGTTGTTGTTAGAATTATAACAATACTCTGTTCATGAACCACTAAAAGTATCTTTACACTCAGAAAAACTTTTCAATCCACCTAACCTATATATTATACTCTGTGGCCTGAGTCTTACAAATTACAGTGTTAAGTATCCAACTGAAAGTAATTAAACAAACACATAGTCAAAGAACTTAAATCTCTCTCTCTCTCTCTCTCTCTCTCTCTCTCTCTCTCTAACTAGAGCTCCATGATGGAGTATTTAACAGCTGGGATTTGCATGAAACCAGAGTAAACCTCCTCTTAATCTTTAATTAATACAGTGGTCTATCATCTGTATGCTAATATTTAATGGTCCCCCACAACAGTTAGCCACCCACATTGCCTTGCCTCCGAGTTTTTATTTTGAGCGGTGATTTATGCGCTCTCTTTTTTATCTTATGCACTATTTTTCTTTTCTAGTCGTCTAATTGAATAAATTAAAACGAAACAAGAGCGTGCAAGATTTAAAAAGGATGCCATAACTAGGAGTGAAAATATTTTATGACCTCCAACGAATAACCTCTTTTATCTTTTGGGTGCATTTAATCCTTCTTGCAAAAGTAAGTACGTCTAAAACATATCAAAATTTGTGGTTCCCTTTCTCCAACGTTACAAACTTACACAATCCAACGAGTCACGTATGTGACAGATAGGAAGGGTACTATGTTCTTGTGTCTTAATCCTTTACTATTGTCTGTGACAACACTATACATAAATAGTAACAAGTACGTACTAGCCTTCGATTTCACAAAGTGATACATATACGAACAATGTTGGAAACGTTAAAAAATTATGTTAATCATATGGTCTAACTAGACACAAGCCTTATGTTTAGATGTAGAAAGTTATAGACCCATTTCTCAATCACCTCGCACGTGAACATTATGTTTGAGGTACATAACATCAGAACTTATTTACAATTTATCAATCGTTCGAAACTACTTAAGTAGGAAACATGGTTGAAAAACTGGTAACTTTTTATTAGAATTCCAAAGTATTTTAAGGAAAAGCATTTAGGAATTGTTTCTAATACTTGGCAGATACTTCTCAATAAAAACACTTCTGTATCAACCAAAAACACTTATAAGTTAGGAAGTGTTATTAACGTCTCCAAAAGCAGTCTCAAACAGACCTTTACCATATTAACCACCTAGTTACAAGGAAAGTCTTGAGTAAGGTCAATCTTATGTGTAGTGACAATCAACATATCACATATTTATAATCGAGGAATCTCTCAAATAAGTTTATTCGACAGATTTTTTTTCCAAAAAATTGTAATGGTTGTGCTATATTTTCTTAACATAATCATACATTTTTTAATATTAATTTTAATCTACACACCTAATTCTCTTTGGTTTCACCAACTATCGTTTGGAATTGCTTTTAAACTGACTAATAGTTTTTTGATGAAAAATTTATTTGGAACCAATTCTTAGTAAAATGCGAGTAAATTCTTAAAAAAAACACTTGAAGTGCTTCTACTTTTGAAACCCAAAAATTTTCTTCTCTAAAAGCATTTTCAGTAATTCTAAAAGTACTTTCAAACGAGTCTTATGACTTGTGATGCAAATGCAGGCATTAATTGATGACTGTTAAAATCAAGAAATAATTTGGGTATCACATGGTGGTTAATGTTGTTTAATATATGAGTAAACACTTTGAGACATTATTGTCTCCCTTAGTCTTACAACAAAGACATATAATACAGGACACTGAAGGACCACACAACAACCCCAATACTTAATAATAATTAGATTTAGTGATTTACCCTAAAAATATTCATTAGCTGTCCTGATTTAATTATAATTATAACTCCCCAAATCTTAATGGAAGCTTTTTAAGCTGTTGGCATGATATCTACCACTTCAAAAACCTTTCAAAATGACAAGAAAACCAACCCAAGATAGGGGAATTCACATGAAATACCAGAAAGAGGCAAACCCTATAGAAGGTTAGTTTGGTCATAAAAATGTATCTATGATTCAGAATGGCACATGTGGCCACATGCTTGGGACCCCTAACTAACATGTTATAACTTATACTACCCCTGTAAGCAGGGGAGTCAAATCTCTCTTTGACTAATCCAAACTCATTTAGATTAATTACCACTAATCCATGAGATAATCCTAATTTAAAGTTTCCTGCTCCTATGTGCTGTTTTAAATTTGAAAAAGCAAAAGATCCCCCTCTCCAACATAATCACATGTATCTTGCAAGGTTGATAGGATTTACCCTAATCTAATACCTACAAAACAATAAAAAGACAAAGCATGAAAAGCTTTAAGATTATCTTTTATTCGAAAATGATAAACACATAATACCATTTTTAATCTCTTATACACTTCTTTTTAATCATGACTAGTTGATTCAGTTTGGTTTATTCAATTCGATGTTTAGATATAAAAAAAGACGTATGATAATCACTTCTCATATTCTATTTAAGTAACAAAATTTTTCTAATTTCTCTCATTATGATACATGAATCTAAATTATATGTAACCTGATGCATTGTTCAAATCAACAAATCTAATAGTATAATATGTCAAACCGTCTAACAAAAGAAAATATCTTCTCCTTTTGTATAATTTATAGGAAAATGATTTTTACGCTCACTTTTTCTCCTCTAGCACTCCCTCTTTTTCTCTAGTGGTTGAATTGAATAAATCATATGAGCACTAAGGGTTCAAACAAAAGAAAAAGTTTCCATTCTTCAAAAGAGCAGAGGTTAAATCCTTTTCCAGGAAGTTACTTTGCACTTTTTCTAATCAAATTTGGGGTTTTGGAAGAACAAGAAAGAAAACACTAGTTAGAATTGCATGAGAAGCTATGGTAATATATAAATTTGTTGTCTTTATTGAGTTCCCAATAAGGTGAAGTTGTCCATGTGCCTGCTTCTATATTCTAAACACCACCTGAGCTCTCTTGTTTCGCCTCCACCAGACCACCTAACTTTTATAATCCAAACGATAATTACTGCCCAATTAGCCATCACATAACACACAGATTAACACTTGACTTAAAAATTAACATCAACAAACCATCTCTTCCTTCCCTTTATATATACCACATACCCTCATGCATTTGCTCAAAACCACTCTTTCACTACCACAAAAATGGGATCCCTAGAAATTGTTCAGGCAACCCCTAGATCCGTCGGCACGCCTTCGAGTCCGCGGATTTCGTTCTCCGCTGAGTTCCTCGACGAGAACAACTTCATCTCCATCACCCCGAATTCGCGCGGCGAAGTACAAGACAAAAAAATGGAGGGTGGTGATCACCAAAAGGTACGTAACCCGGATTTTGAGTTTCTCTCGAGCAACGTGAGTAGCCATGCCATGTTGTCTGCAGATGAGCTATTTTTCGAAGGGAAGCTCCTTCCCTATTGGCAAAAGCAGCACGCCGAACGGCTCACGAAGCTCAACCTCAACACCAAGGACGTTGAGGGAGACGAGAATGAGGAGGGGGTGAACAAGGAGGAGAGCCGGGGGAGTTGGTTTGTGGACGACGATCCATCTCCGAGGCCGCCTAAGTGCACGGTTTTGTGGAAGGAGCTACTGAGACTGAAGAAGCAACGCGCTTCGACATTGTCCCCATCTTCCTCGTCCTCGTCTTCCTCTTCTTCCTCGAACTCGTTGGCGGATATAGCTACAACGACGGATCAAGAGAAGGAAGGGAACAAAGAGAAGTATATGAAGAGGATAAAGAAAGGGTTGGAACGAACAAGATCCGCAAGCATAAGAATAAGGCCGATGGTAAATGTGCCAATTTGCACACAGGTGAAGAGCAGTGTCTTGCCACCTTTGTTTCCTCTCAGGAAAGGAAGAGTACTAGAGAGGTAGAGAAGTTGGTCCGATCTGCAAGATTAATTGTGTCATACAAACTCTACTATGCTCCGCCGTAAGACGAAAACCCTACTATGCTCCGGCGTAAGAGTGCGGCCAAAGATCCAACATCCAAGGATCCCCGTGCATATTGGAAAATCAAGATTTTCATTGTTTTCTCAAATTTCTCCATATATTTTTTTCTTTCATTTGAAATTTCTGTCTCATGTTTAGAAGGGTGTATTCAATTAAGAATTCGAGACTTTAATGGATTTATAAATCTATGAATTTTTGTAGAGTTTAATTGATTTGTAAGATTACATATAAAATTTTGATTCAATTCCTTGAAATCTCATGAGAAGAGGTGAGATTTGTGGATGCTTAAAATACACTACGAAATCTCTCAAATTCCCTCAAATTCCTCAACTCTCTAAAATTCTTTAAAATCAATTTCTAATTGAATACATCTGGAATGTTATAAACTTATTTAAAATCCTAATTGAATACATCCGGATTTCTATAGCATTTTAATAAACTATCTTAAATTTTAATTGAATACACCTTTAATTTCAAAGAAACACTTAAAATCCTGATTGAATACCCCTAAATTCATTAAAGAATTAAAATTCCTTAAAATCCCAATTGAATACACCCAGTGTTGATTATGGTGAATTTGAAGAATCGTAATGTAAATGCTAACTTTTCTAGTATTTTTTGTCACAAAATTAACAGAAATTTGTTTGATTATTTTGTCTTTTTTTCTTTCTTTTGGAAATTTTTTTTTATTGAACAAACGATATTATCTACACGAAGGGATGGGGGAGTGCGTTAAACCTCACCGGACAAGTAATAATGTGGTTCAAATCTTGCATTTAATGAAAATTGAACCTAAAACTTCTTATTTACAAACAAGAAGAAATACTACTAAACTGCAGTACTAAATGACTTTTGGCTTCTTGTATTGTCCAAAATGTACATACAATGATCCGCCAACTGGCTCTACCAAATAAGCAAGGAGGAAAGTGAGAAAATCATGCAAGATGCAGATGCACATCTGTGACTCGGTGGGTCCAACATGTGAGCCATTGCAGCTTTTGGAATCTGATTTTTGGCCTTAACCACCATTGAATGTTTGAATTATTTTTAGCATATGAAGAAAGGGAAGAGGACCACATTCGTAGGGTTCTCTTTGATGCATGGTTTGAATGTAACAGGGAGTCGAATTCCCGACTCTAATTTACAGGGATGGAGATTCAAACTTAGGTGCAAGGAGACTGGCACTCTGCCAACTGGCCTAAAGTACATATGTGAATTTAATAGGGAACCATACACCTAACGGAAGTAAATAAAGGATCAACATCAATCACTTCACAAAAATATAACTTTTACAAACAATACAATGGTGTACATTTGAAAGGAAAATTAAAAGTGTATTAAAGAGTAAGAAAAATCAACTATGGACAACTTAAGAGCATCAACTACGGATCAACGTGACCGTATATGAACAATCGGGTATAAAACTGTAGGGTAAAATTTCAATGAAGGTCTCAAACCCCATCAAAACTAAAGATAAGCGCAAGAACTTTCGACTGCAGGACCAAAGAGCAGGCAAAGGGAAAATTTGCAGTCCAAATTTTGTAGAGCTCTTAATGTTGAATGTTGGGATCAAGTTTCTTGGAAAAGATATTTACCTTTGAATGCACAATACTAGCTGTTCAAGAAGGTGGCTGTGCTGAAAAAGAATTTCCAAACGTCCTGAAATGCAAATTAAAACAATCAGCTTAAGGTGCAATTCTTAAGGTTTGAGTGGTAAGACTAGTGGAATTCAACTACCTTAGGTCCTTAGGTCCAGTCCCGATTTTTGAATAAGGCTATCTGGAACTTCACCAGTCAAATTATTGTTTTGTAAGAAACTGAAAGAGACATGGAAGCAAGTTAGGAAATCAGAAAGTCCTATGTATAGAGATAAATGAGCCGTGTGTGCATATATTTCCGAACTTAGTGAGAATCCTTTGTCAATCACAAGGTTTAGACCATGATACACTTCTAATGGTATTTGCTTCTGACAAACAAAACAGACAGAACATCTGGAAGCCCTAATGTATTCGTCTGTAATATACAGCACGCTGAACATGCAAATTTTTGTTGCAGCCATTCCAGATTCTTATATGCTTTAAAAAGTAGGTGTTTCCAACTACAGGAGAATCAAAAGGTATCAGTACTGGGGTTATACCACAAGTTGACCTTACACCATAAAGTTTTCAAATCAGTCACAATTAACTTTTGCCTCCAATAAATTACAGCGCTAACAATTCTACAATTAAACAGTATAAAATATACATATATTTGAACGTGAACCAATAATAACATAACGAAACCAAATTCTTCTCATCCATTTTTCAATACAAATAGACATTTTGGAAAATGCAATTAAAAAACTCAAATTAATACCAAGAAAGAAGAAGCGACTTTGACTGTTTGACATCACTTACAGTTCATGCAACCTATCAATGCTCCCGAGCGATGAGGGGATATTTCCACTGAAATGATTGTTTTCCAAGTGCCTTAAATGAGGGAAAAAGAAAAATTGGATCAGAGAAAGCCATTTCAGGCAAAAATAAGGAGACTCAGAATATTCAGGAATCAGATGAGACAACCAATGCAATGACAAAGTAGCACAAAACCGCTAAAATAGATTATTAATCACTTAATCACACCACAAGCAGTATAGTTTCAACTTTCAGGCCACTGACTTGCAGAATACCATTTATGGTGGCCAATGTTTCCATATGCCATAATGTGTTTCATTGCAAGTTCAAAAATAAAATGATGAAGAGGCAAGGGCAAACGGTGGGAAGTAAATTGTCACAACTTACAGTTTCTCCAGTAACTTCAACGAACTTAGATCGGGAATATGCCCTGTAAAGTTATTCTTCCCAAGCAAGCTGTCAGAAGTACTAAATCGTCAATCAGGCATTCAACAATACTTGTGAACAAACTAAATACGGTTAAATTCTCAGGAACCTACATATTAGACAATGCGGTCATGTTGGCAATGCTAGGTGATAGCGATCCTGAAAGGCCCGTATTTGTCAGATTTCTGTAAGCATGAGGAAATAGAAGTAAGTTTTGGCCATGTTGAGATGGAAAAAGAAAGGGAAGCACACTATAAGCAATACAAAAATCGAGCATGAAAAATGATTATGACAGGTTTCAACTCACAAAGTGACCACACGAACTCGAGGGCCTGGAGAGCATGTAATGCCTGTCCACGAGTACTGACGGGGAAAACAAGGATCACCATTCCAGTCAGGTGGAGGGTTCAGAAGACTTTGTTTTACTCTTTGCAAAGCAATAACTGCTGATATGAAAAGGGAACTCCATGAAGTATTACATCAAGCCTAGGAACAATCTAATGTTGCAATTTGAATAAGCCTGTTTACAAATTTCTAACATCAGTTAGTTCAAAACTAAAATATCACCCAAAACCATCAATGATAAGCATACCATCTCGAGTAAGAGTTGTTCCTCCAAGGGGCAACACATCAAACACCTCGCCTGCATTAATCAAAGCACCACTGCTTGATCCGGCAGATGGGGTCAAAGTAATCCTAGTAGAACCAGAAAGAGGCCACCTTGATGCATAAACAACAAGCCCTTCTGGCTTCACATCCAAATCCTTGTAATACGGAATACCATTGATGCTAATGTTCAACACTCTTGACCCTGTGGACTGCCCTGAGCAAAGTACAGAGCTATGTAGTAATTCGATTCAGGAACTGACCGAGGAGGCCAATTCAACTCCATGGCCTCAGTTTTTCCTGTCGTCAATTCGCTTTCAAAAACTTTCAAAGGGGGCATATTCCACATGCCAGAAACAGACGCATTTGAGTTGCTCACATTGATCGGAATCATTGGATTGTGTTCTTCAAATGGCGCCCAAAATCGATCAAATTGGTCATCTGGGTATCTGAAAATACCCAATTTCAGATACTAAAATCTCACAAATTTAACTTCAAAGTCACTGAATACACAAATATAGAACTTAAACAAATGATAACAGTGTATTTTTGCTCACCATCACATTGATTGTCATTAAAAGAATGCAAATTAATCTATAAACTACACAAAAATTAAAATTTAAACTCATCTAACGGCAATCAATACGGTGATGCAAAAACATAGATGGGATGTGCCCTCCAAATGGCACCCAAAATCGATCGAATTGGTCATCTGTGTATCTGATGATAACCCAATTTTTAGATTCTAAACTCACTCAAACTTTGACTTCAAAAGTCACTGAATTTACAGATTTTTACAAGCTACAGCAAAAGAGAGAGGCGCATACCGAATGATGGATCCGGTGTACCCAAAGCTGTTTCGGGAGACCAAACTGAGGCCGTACGACTTGAAGTCCGTGGAGTTGTAGAGCGAGTCTTCGAGTATCACAAACTCCAGGGCGGAGATAAACGGGTCGGATTTGGTGTAATTGTTCGACCCGAGACAGACGCTCATGGTCTTGCCCTGAGCGAGAAAGACCCCCTCGTAGTAAGACGACAAGCCCTTGGCGTAGTCTTCGGTGGTGTTAACGACGGCCCAGAAAGTGCCGTCAACAATCTGGTCGAACACCGGCGGCGAGCCGTTGCCGTAGTAGTAGTACGTGGTCCGGACCATGTACTTAGCTTTGCGGTAGACCTGGACGGTGTAGCAGAACTTGCGGTGGGGATTGTTCGGGAACGATCGGGCGGTGGAGAGGATGGGGACGAGGACCGGGGTCGTTAAGTTCCTCGGGGTCCCAGCGGATACGAAGCTGGTGTCCGGGAGCCATTCGCGGCCGTCGATTTCGGATTTGACGGCGGCGCCGCAGTTAATAAGAGTACCTGGTTCAAAATTTTCAAATTAGAATGTGAGCATTCAACCCAAAGTCAATTGGAAGACGGAAAATGAATTTTACAATAAAGGACTAGACATTTCCATATTAAAGGGCATACCTTTGGGGAGGGAGAGAGAGAGGGGGAGGAGGGAGAGGAGGAGGAGGGGGATGAGGAGATGGAGGAGGGAGATAAACATGGTGGAGGGCGAGGAGAGAAAGAGGAGGTGTAGAGAGAGAATGGAAGGGCTTTGGTTGGGTGAGTGAGATAAGCAAGGAAGGAATAGGAAGAGAGAGAGAGAGAGAGAGAGAGAGAGAGAGAGAAGGAGCCGCGAAGGTGGAGTTGGGGAAGAGGAAAGGTATTTCGGTTGGGTAAACGCGGGAAAACAAGGGCTTGGTCAAGAGTCGGTAGTTTAATTGCTAAATTAACTAATGTAATTATGATTTGGTGGGGTAGGTGGGTGTGTGGGGTACCACTTAGACCAAATGAAGACCCGGCCCACCGGAAAAAGTAAACGGATAAACTGTAAACAAGTGAAGCCAGCAGGACTAGACCAACTCAAACGACAGCCCAACAGCAAACTGTAGAAGCGAAGACAAACAGAAGATCCAAACCAAACCAAATCAAACCAAACCAAACCACCAGAAGAAGATTAATAAATATTTTAAATCGGCTTAAGCAAAATTAAGTTTATGAAAGTTCAAGGGACTGTTTTCTGCTCTATACTTTATATCAATTCGAACAAATACTGGCTTTGTCTATAGTTATTCATCATTATACCAAAATAAAGTTGTATATGTTTTCTTAACCACTACATCCAAGGAAAAATGGTAGGGCTCGAACTTTATGTAATTTCAAGTGTGACGTAAGTGATATTTTATCTCAAAATGCCATGCACTTAATATTTTCTTTATTTTCTTTTTGACTAGTGTATCCAAGTCTTAGACTCGACTACTCACTTAACCCCACAACATTTGGGGAGCGAGAAACTCTAGCATTTGCTAGGTGGTTACCGTGGAAGAAAGTCGAACCTCAGACAATTTAAGAGCAAACCAAGGACTAGACGGCTAGACCAACAACTCTTAGATTAATATTCTTTTATGAGCAATCAATCCTTCTATTTTGCACAATTGTATATCTGAGTACATCGATATATTTTTACACTAAGAGGGGAGAGTTCAGCTAAGCAACATACTTGGCAACCAAATTTTGTATTGAATTCGTCATCCAAAAAATTCAAACCTAAGACCTCTTATTTTCAATTGAAAATGAATATCGGCGACTCCACAATTGTATTTGATCCACCATTCTTACACAATCTCGACCTTGAATCAAATCATAATTCATCCATCCTCCGTCTATTAGGCAATTGATTACATGTGCTCCATGATGATTTGTCATGTGTCCCAAGTCAAACCCGGCTCTAATACCATGTTTTGTACCCTTGTAATCTTAGCTCGTCACTAATTGCACAAGTTGTATTAGTTTTGTTCAGAACTTAAATCCTAAGTCGAATACATGGTTGAGGCCCCATTCTCTTGGACCTCCATGTGTGATATTTTATGTCAAAAACACCAACACATTTAAAAAAAAAGAAAAAAAAAATTACATCCTAACCAATTGATATAGAATATATTTTGTGGTGTGTGATATCCACACATCCCTTTTTACTTATCCCATGCCTTTTTGGTTTTCGGTCGTCGGATCGGATGAATTGAAGAAGATCAATATACAGAAATGAACAAGAGATGTGTGAGAAGTAAAAATGGGTGTGTCGATAGCACACCCCTATTTTGTTAGGAAACATGATTAATTTAAAACAACAATGATTTTTCACAGACTCACTTTCACAATTACACTCCCTAGTTAATTCAATATTTTAATTTTCTTTTGATCAGTTTCATCAATAACTAGAAAGAAAAAAAATGGAGTGCTCAAAATAAAAAATAGGGTGCATAAAGAATTCCCATTTTTTTTTCTTGAGCAAATGATGTTATTTGCACTAAAGAAGTAGGAGATTAGACTAAATTTTACAATGAACTAACAATAATGTGATTCAAATTCGCTTTTAACGAAAATTAAATCTAAAACATCTCAATTACGAGGAAAGAACAATACTATCAGACAAACATCTCAATTACAAGGAACTTTTTTTTTTGGGGTCAAATAACCTCATTTTTTTTTTTAATCCATCGATATTTTTACATTAAGGGGAGGGAGAGTTCGGTAAAGCCACATAATGGGCAGCCTAGTTTGGTAACAAATTCACCATCTACAAGATTTAAACTTACGACCACTTACTTTCAAATGAAGAGGAATATCACCAGATCTGAATGACAAATAACTAGATCTGAATGACAAATAACCTTATTTTTAAAAGCTGAAAAAATGGTATCGGGAGGACAAATGGGTCTAGTGATAGAGTAAGTCCAAAGAAAGGAGTGACAATTCTGAAAATGGGCCCAAAACTTGATTGTACTGGTCCACCCACGCCCTGTATTTTATTGTGTAATCACCATTGGATTCTCTCCATTTCTCTAGGCTCGATTCTGCAGCTATTATTTTTCTCCAAATATAAAAATTGGGTGGACCTCAATTTTTGACTCACATGCAATCAATTCATGAAATGTTAGGCATGTGAACCCAGTTGAATGTTTGAAACAATCATAATCAACCCCTCGTGTGTGAAAAATCACATTCTCTTAACGAGAATTAGAGAATGAGTTTACTGTCATCGTAGTTCAGGATTTAAATTTGTATTAACAGCTCAAAATATTACATAACAATAACTTCAAACTCTTCATTTTGATTTAGTAAATAACTTTGTACCAGTAGCTAGAGACGTTAAGACAGTGGTGTTTGTTTAATGAAACCGTTCCTTGTAGATTTGGTTGGTTCGGGTGGGTGCCAAATTCACGCGGTCTTGTGCTTTCTGCCAAGACATCACTTTCAGTTGGCTAACTTCCCGGGTTCATTTATTCACACACCCGACCCAAAAACTTGAACGAAAGTCCCACACGGCAACTACCTGCAAGCACGACGGAACTAGCATGGCAGTTGGCGGGGTCCTCTGGATTCTGGCAGGCCTATACAGAACGCACCGTCCGCACGTTAGCTGATATCGTCGTCCCACTCTGTGCCTTCTCCGAGCGGGAGCGCACGTTAAACCATATATTAATAATTTAGTTATTCTCAAAAAATAATTTAGTGAAAAAAAAAATTAAATAAATAAATGGATATGTAGATATACCGGAAATCGTGTGGCGGATTTTGACCCAACACATCCACGGGAAAGGAAAAGAAAGGAGAAAGCAACAAAACAAAAAGGAAAAAACTTTCACTTTTTTTTTTTAATTCTAATTTCCGAAAATACCCTTGGATCGATCTCTCTCTCACTTGTCCCTGTCTCTCAGTCGAACCTCTTCAAGTCCGAAGTTTGTTTTTCCAATTCGGATCAGTTTCTCTTCTTCGTCGCTTCCGTCGTCGTTGATGGAGTTGCAGAGGCGCCAGGACCAGAGACGTCCAGAGAGGAAGGGGCAGAAGCGGAAGCTAGAGGAGGAAACCGGCGGCGAGCGGGAGATCTCGGTGAAGTCCGGCGAAGCCAGAAAGGCGCTGCTGAGCGAGGTCAGCGAGCAGGTGAAGGTCCTCAACTCCACCTTCTCTTGGAGCGAAGCCGATCGAGCTTCTGCCAAGCGCGCCACGCACGTCCTCGCCGAGCTCGGCAAGAACGGTTGGTTGAAACGAAATCCCCAAATCACCCTCCGATCTCGCTGTTTCCCCTCATTTCTTATCGGTTGTGAAGCTTTCGAGGTTCTTGAATAGCTCGGATTTAACGATTTTATGCGTTTGTGTGTGAGCAGAGGAGGTAGTGAGCGTGATCGTCGAAGGCGGCGCGGTTCCGGCTCTGGTAAAGCATCTTCAAGCGCCGCCGTTAAGCGACGGCGACCGGAGTTCGAAGCCGTTTGAACACGAGGTTGAGAAGGGAAGTGCCTTTGCCCTGGGCCTTCTCGCAGTTAAGGTCACTTTACTCTTACTGTTTTTCAAATTTTCAGTCCACTTTTGGTCAAAATTTTCTGTGGACTTGGAAATTTCCTTTTCTGTATAAATAGATTTCTCGTTTTAATTTTTTCAGTGATGGTACAATTGAGCTTGTAATTTACTCACAGAGGTTCAAGAATTGGAATTTATGTTAGTTGGATTTGGAATTTTGGATACTAACTGAAGTTGCTAAAATTCAAAATTTGTATAAAATTACAGTTAGAGTTGGGGAAATTATAATTCGAAAATATACTAAAATAATATATTCTCTTCCCAGAAGCACACAGACAATTAGGCCTATTATTAATTTAATTGATATTAGAATGCACCGACAATTAGTATGAACTATGAAGCTAAAATTTCACAATAGTGAGGCAAAAGTATTTTCTTTTTTTTTTTTTTGGCTGTGGTATACATGTAAGGAGGTGTAGTGTGATTATTTTTCGTTGGGTTGTTTGGTGGTATTGTAGTTGCCGGTTTGCTATAGTAAGTTGGTGTGTTATGGTTGCCGATATGTCTGGGTTGCTTTTGATTCTCGGTGTATCCAGTATTACTCTTGACCTTCTTTATGTTGCATGGATATTTATGTGGGACACTCTTGGATAGGATCTAATTCACCGTCACGCTTACTCTACGTATAATTGCTAAACTTGTTCATTCTTGCTGTCATATGTGTCAACAGCCGGAGCACCAACAACTCATTGTTGACACTGGCGCATTAGCTCATCTTGTGGATTTGTTAAAGAGGCACAAGGATGGTCCTGTATCTCGAGCTTTGTATAGCGTCATTCGTAGAGCTGCTGATGCCATCACCAACCTTGCTCATGAGAATAGCAACATTAAAACCCGTGTCAGGTTTGCTTATGTCTCAAGTACCTTCTTTCTCAATAAAAATGACAGTAGCAACACGATTCTAATGATCATCAGGAATGCATATACAGAATAGAAGGTGGAATTCCACCTCTAGTTGAGTTGCTTGAATTTGCTGATACCAAGGTGCAAAGAGCAGCTGCTGGAGCATTACGAACGCTGGCATTTAAAAATGACGAGAATAAGAATCAGGTGATAGGTCTTTTTTTTTTTAAAGTTACTTATGATAAAAGGTTGGTTTGAACAAGAACCTGATGGTGTCAATTTATGGCTTTGCAGATTGTTGAATGCAATGCGCTTCCTACTCTCATTCTAATGCTTCGGTCTGAGGATGCTGCAATACATTACGAAGCAGTAGGATCTTATTTTACTTGAATTTATACTATGCACAATGGGACTTATATTGTTCAGAA